AAGTATTCTGAAACATTTCTCATCATTAGATCTAATTAATGGAAATTAGAAGTGAACATCAGTTCCTGGATTATTATCGATTTAATCAATGTTATAAATTTTCATTTTTAACTCATTAAACCTATCATTAATCATAAATATCTCTCTGTATACTTCTTAGTACTGACTCGTCAAATGTTCCTTCTTATATGATTATTAATGTAGAAGACTGACAAAGCAATAGAAAGGCATTATGTTGTCGATAGTTTTAAGACGTGGATTTTCCCTATTTTTTTCAAGCGCTTGTCTAATCTACCCTGTTAATTATTGTACATAAGAAACAAGTATCAAGTATTGAATAAATCTATGTTAGACAATTGAAGTCTGAATGCAGAAAGAGAACTAACTAACTAACTAAGAAAGTTTGCATACTGTTAAGTTTTAAAAAATATTGGTTATAAGTTAGTGATAGAAACAGGTCTAGTTCTTGACTCACCGTCAAATTACTAGGACAAATACCCAGTTCTCTATGGTGAAGTACTGTTCATAAAGTATTTTGTTTTAATCTGATCATCTTGCATATGGTAATATGATCAATTAGAACTGTAAAGTCCTATTACCTATACTAAGAATTTTAATAAATAGTCTGTTATCAACCGGTAACTATTTTGATATTGTGATATTTCTTAGTATATATTCATATATGATTATGTTCGAAATGGAGTTAAATAGAAATCAAGTCTTTTCATCTATTAGTTATTCAGTATCATTCATTATTTTCCTAGACAATCTGACATTACATTTTGATGTTTATCTAAAAACCCGTACATAATTCTTTCGGTTAACATTTCATCTGACGTTTACAACATTAGCTTAATATTAGTGGACCACAATATCCACTTTACAATGATTATGCATATGAAATATAACAGGATTTAAGCTGGAAAGTATACTTTATTCTTCAACTTGAGTGATGTTAAATCTGATTCTGAAATTTATACGACCAGCATAAACACCTTCAAACTGACTATATGTATCAGAAAATGTGATAACATTTAGACTCCAACGGTGGATTTCACGCAACTTTTTAATCGGTTTTAATTACTTTAAAGCAACTCATTTATTCTACGAGTCGGTATATGTTTATCTTCTATTGTGTATAAATAATTTCATTAATAAGTTCTCATAGTTTTTACAATTTTTTCACTGCAAACTCTCTTAAATATCAACAAAATGATGTTATCATGTGAATGAAATCTACAATATTCTAGGTAACTTGAACGACCTAAGTGTTCCTATTATTTGAAATATCCTTAGTGTCATGATTTCGAGATAAATCATAGTGAGTGAACTATATTTCGTATAGAATTCGCATTAGGTGTACATTCTGCATTATTTGCCCCTAAATGCCCTGATACGGCCGAGAGTGTGAATAGTTCACTCTCCCTCTCGAAATGCTCTCACATGGCTACGTGCATACAACCACTGCCAGGGAAGTCCTACCCACTGCTTCCTCATGGCGGGGTGTTGTTTACGAAAATGAGAGGATGAAAAGCGAATGTCCGGTACTTTAACCAGGTCGGTGGATATAGAGGATCCACTTAGGGGAGTTGGAAAACCCTGATTCCAAACCAGTGGTGCACATGAGCTCTAGGATCCTAAGGAATCAAATGGCGTATCAACCTTATCGTTGGTCACCGGCTACAATATGACTGAATCTCTTGATGTTGCTCCACTGCCTTGTGGATAAGACCTTTAGGTCGATGGCTCCGGGTGTGGCCCCCTAAGAAAACCAGCTGCCTCGGTCTGAGCATCCGGGCAGTAGCACAGCTCAAACACAAATCAAGTGAATTGTGTGGCGTATATCTATTCGGTGCCTCTATGTACCAATATTTATGTGTTCAAATAAATAAATAATCTGCATTATTTTGCTTTCAAAATGTGTTACTTTGATTATACAATGACAAAATAAAATTTTTTCTTCTTAATATTGATCTATTTGAATAGGAGATAATGGGTTTGTTCATCAACAAGCTATTGTGGAGATAATTTTTTTTTATCTTCGTAGTTAATCGATTTCTGTAATTAAGCATATCAGTTCACCCGTTAACATGGTGTCAGCTTAAATCATAAAGAGGAAAAAAGGAAGAAGAATTCTTTTAGAAACACTTAACAATCATTGATCACTTAATATGTCTATGAATAGAACTCACTTCACAATGAATGTTACATAAGTTGACTTGTGAACTATATGAGAAAAATCAATAGAATCCAGGCAATGTAAAGCTTTCTGTCAATATATATATATATATATATATATATATATATATATATATATATATATATATATATATATACAAATTTCACAGGTTGAAATCATGAGTCAATTGAAGCTAGAACATCATGGAAAACCTGGAAGCACTGGACGGCCGCTTCGTCCTGGTACGTGACTCCTCAGTAGTGTGCATCCACGACCCCACACCCCGAGGGATTCGAACCCAGGTCTAGCTTCAATTGACACATGATTTCAATCTGTGAAATTTCTAAAAACCTCCACAAAACCCATTCTGATATATATATATATATATATATATATATATAATAGTTAACCTTTAAGAGGTAGATTTCTTATAATGAATAAATTACGATTGAGCTATTTCATTGAAAACCTGTGATTAATATTCCATGATCAATAATTAACTCATGATGTCTGATCTGTCAGCACTGAAAACCTAGTTGGTAATTGCTCACGAAACTTGTCCTGATTCCTTGTTGAATATATTTCAGAAGGTAAATCTACTGACTAGTTGACTAAGAATATATTCTGTCTGAAAAAACTACAGTTTATTTACAAACTATATGATTAGTGTTGAAAGTCACAAAGTGACTAGTGACTTTTTAATACTGATCATCAAAACATATATTTCAGTAGAGCTAGTAGTAGTCAATTTCATTTTACGTAAATCATCATTCTGTGGGGCGCTTTATTTTGTCGTCATTTAGATTGGACGATGTTGTCGACGAACTCTCCACTTCAGTGACCCGAGATCTGACTCCAGTTTGATCGTATGAATGATTGTTATTGAAATATATATATATCGCCTACCCTCGTATATAATCATCGACTTAAATCGCGTTAGTCAATAACGGAATTAATTAAGTCAAATAACGAGAATGGACTTTTGGATACATATATTTTGTTTATAAAGCGAATAGAACAGAGAGAAGCGAAACGACGGGCAGTGGAGATGGCGGGTAAGCCAACTCCATTTAGTCAATCGTTAATCAATATTTATAGTCACACAAAAACATGTTACAGACATGTGATGAGTGATGGGATAAGAAATGTACACACACCTACGCGCTCATATAAAAAACAATCAAGATTGATAGGCGAATAAATAACAAGGTCACAATGTGACTCAGGTAGAATGAATAGAATGGGCTGTCCGAAAACTAGAATAAGGCATATGAGCTTAATATGATAACCGACACTGCAATTTTAATATTTCAGTGATAAGGTTTCTGTATTAGACTTCATATTTCTGCTCAAATCTTCCAAAAACAACGAGTTTTCAAAGTTGGCGTTATTCACAATATACTTACGCCTGTCACTCCTGATGGAGCATAGGTCACCACCTGGAGACACCCTGTGGCTACTGCCGGTTTCAAGCCGGGATAAAGGCGGAGAGTTAAACATGGGGTTATCGATCCCATCCCGTAGAATGCTAACTCACTAAAAAAACGCTGACTTGAAAAAATAATTCAAACTAGAAATTAATTCAAACAAAAAGCACGTATTGTGCCAGACATCGAGTCAATGGATTATTTTGTTATTGTTATACATCTTTTTGACAGTTTACATTATATATTTGTATATCTGTTATTTAAAAGCCTCAATGAATAATCACTACTTTAAGAAAGAATGCAATCTTATCAATTTCTTTTTTAAAACATCTCACACTGTTATATATCAATGTTAATGTGACACCAGAGAGTACTACCCAAAAATTCGATAAAAATGAAGTATATGGAGTTAAGTTTAGTTCTTATCCCAGTAACAAATGTGCCTACACATTTTCATACAAAAAAATAGCGTACAAAACCCGACTCTGTTTTGACTTACATCAAAATGAATATCTGTGAATGAAGGTTTTCAGTGAATCAAAATAATCAATATACAGGTTAACTAATTTATCAATTGATCTAAAGATTCTCTAACAAAAAGCTTATCAGTATCACCTTTCCTGTAATTTGACGACAAACAGTTAGTGATGCTTAATTCCATTATCCACTGAGAATAGTTGTATACCTCTACCTACATAACTAACTGAACTAGAAATGAAAAAAAACAGTCATTATTTGATTGAGATCATGAATCAATTGATGTTAGACCACCGTTGGAAACCTGGAAGCACTGGACGGCCGTTTCGTCCTAGTATGGGACTCCTCAGCAGTGCGCATCCACGACCCCGCTCCCGGCGAGATTCGAAGCCGTGACCAGTGGAGCTAATCCGTGATTCACGACCTAAATCAAAAACTTAACAATCTTCACAACCCCTATACTGATAATCATGGTTTGCTTTAAAAGATCACCTACCTGTGTAATCGGACACAAATATAATTTGAGTTGAAATCAAATAACTTATAGGGTATAATAATCAGTAGAATACAAAGGACTGACATCTATCAATATGTTTTAATAACAATAATATCAATAAGTTTTAATAGTAATAATAATAATAATACTGAATTGATTATTTACATGTGTAGATTAACAGAATGCACTTGTTAAAGTAAACTAACCAATTGTCTGATTATTCTATTGAATAGTTACGTGCACCTAAGAGATCTATTCCATGATGATTGCCCTAAATTATGAGTCATAGAGATATGAAATTACTCGTTTAATTTATACGATAATAAACTAATTGTGTACAGAATGTTCATACACAGAAAAACAAGTGGTATAGGAAAGGGATTAATGGGTATATATGTGCACCTTTTATAGTTGTCATTTTAACAAAAGAAACTTAATTGATTTAATAGATTAAAATATGTTAAAAATGATATATGTCTCTTCTTTATGATTTGTAAATGTGACAACTTTTACATCACACCAAGTATCGTTCCTTCTAATTTTGTTGTTGTTGTTGTTAATGGCACTTATAAATAATGTCAGTTTGTTTAAAGCATATAAAATTCTGTGAGATACATTGTTTTAAACATAGATCACCAACAATAGTTACACATAAATTCACTTTTAAAAAGACTTTACATAAGTCATCTTGTGGATTAAAATATATTGACAAGCGAACACCATCATCATCATCATCATCATCATCGTCTTCTTCAACAGGTGGTTGGTGTTTCGTAAGAAGTTTTGGGGAATTTGTAAGTAATCTATGTTTACACGGTCTAGGATAGTCTTTTCTTTTGACTAACTATTTGCTCATTCATTAATGTGTATATTTCAGTATTAAACTAATCTTTCTAAACTTTGCCTAATTCATATTAAAAATGTATGCAGTTTAAAACCTCTCTTATACTTTTCATTTTCATTACAGACTGTTCATTTGTTAAACTATTATAAGGATATCTATTTTTTTCAAGAATGACAAGAATGACTTACTGCTTCAATTGTTGTAAGTAATAAAGAACTCGATCCTGTGACTAAATGTTTGATAGTAAAATTCGCCAAGCAATATGTTAGAACAACTAATCTCTTTATAATGAACAGTTTTGTTGATTTATCATTGGGTGGTTAATAAAATTACAATCAACGCATATTTCCTGTTTTATTTATGGCGTATCTATCAGGAATTCAAATTGTATTTGATTAAATGTATATGATACTGTTCGACAATTAATGATAATGGTATCTGAATATACTTGTACCAAATAAAATACATAGATGAATACCTACCGATTGTAAATGATAATTCCTTTCTTAGTATTTCGTACTACATTCATGCAAGGGGGACATAGCAAGACAGTACTCCGCTTTGATTGGAAATATTATTGAAATAAATACACTAAAAAAATGACTAATCAGTTACTTTCGATTAGTCAGGTAGATGAATAAACAGTAGTATTATATTTTACACACCAACAATATGAGTCTAAGTACTAGGTGAGGAAACGGGTATCCTGACGATCGACGTCTGTTGTATTTACTTTTAATTCTGTATTTTTTCATTTTAAAACCCTAATCCGTAAGCCAAACCTTCTAACGGAAGTTTAATTGTAGTACCTGAGGATGGTTTAAAAAAGTGAACAATTAATTGTCTTCGAACCTCTTCAATTAAAACTAATTTCTCCTCCTCACCCTTTATTTTTGCATCTTTCTTTCAATCTTCTTTGAATAAATAAAGCTAAGAGAGTATATGTAGGGTGGTGGTTGGAGGTAGTTGACAGAAACCCCAGTCCTGGGTTTCGTGCTATTTGAAACTCACCAACAAGATACACCTATAATCTTGAAAGAACTATTCCTCTCTATTGGAGTTGATCCCTTTTCACTTAGCTTCATAGTCACGGGCGTTATCACCACTGCTCAGTGATTGATCAGTCATATAAAGGAAGTATATTTTTAGAACATTTGCCCCGTAAACATTCATCTCTGGAAACTTCTAGTCTTCAAGTTATACACGCCAACTAGTTTCTTTGGTCTGTTTGATCAATGAAGTCGCGAAACGTAATTTCTATAAGAATGATAAATTAATGATTCCTCCTAGTACCTCCCTTTTTATTTCAATAATAGAATGACAGTGTTCTCATTCTAAGGAAGCCAAATAATCAGGGTATTGTGATTCAGAATACCAGACTCTAGGTATAATGCATAACGATATCAGATCACTGAAATTTGTACCGAAATTCAGTTTCCTTTTTGATGAATTTCAAGTAGTCCCAAAACTTTCAGTATTCTACCCACAATCTTAAGGATTCATCCAAAGATTTGCTTGTATTAAATTGATCTTGTTTGATATGTTTCAACGGTGCGCATCCACGTGAATTAGTTGAAGTTATTCGTTAACACCGTTGGATGGCAACCTGTCCAGTTGTCTAGAAGTTAAGCACTCGCGTGCGAACCGGTTAGATCCTCGGTTGGAATCTCGAGAGGCGAAGTCGTGAATGCACACTGCTGAGGAGACCCACAATAGGACGAAACGACTGCTCAGTACTTTCAGGTTTTCGATGATGATCTAGCTTCAGTTAACTCATGATCTCAACTATTGAAATTACTATAACATCCACAAAAAATCCCTTCTGATAACAATTAAAATGTTTAGTCGCTGTTATAAGGAGGATACTCCATAAGAAAAAATGTCTAAGCTTAGTTGACCAAGATGATTAAATACTTTTCCTTTTAAGAAATCCATCTACTTTAAAGGTGGTTATTTTTTATAAGACACTCCTTAGATTCATCGCTACCATTTATTTGTATTTGTTCGTTTAAGAGGCATTTAAATTGTGCACGTACTAAATGTTCCTTTGTCAGCTTGTATTTCTTTTTCAATTTGGATCTTCAAATGGATACACACAAAATCTATCAGTGACTTTAGATTTTAAAGAAAAATCTTTTTCAACGTTTATCTGTTTAGAAATGTCATCCAAAAACGCATACCTTTAATTATAAGCTCATGGTTATATTGTCTAATATACTTTGTAACGAATCATATAGTCAGGCACCATTTATTTTAATCTACAAATTTCTTTAACTAAACTAAATTGGTCCAAAACCTTAATACTGGTTATTTTTGTTTAGAGCCAACCTTTAGAACGTCGTGCTCGGATTGATCTATTTTAATAGACAACATATGTCATTCTGCCTAACAAAGCTGAACTTGTATTCACAGGTTACTTTATATAGACTTGATAAATGTTTTGCAAATTATTTTTGTTATAACTTGTGGTCTCGTGCCCTATTATTATATATAACGTAATGATACCGACAATTAGAGAACAATGATTTATCGACCGGACCAATAACGTACAAAACCCGTACGAACAGTTTAGAGTTTTTATAGGATCCTGCCTGTTAAGTCCAGAACGCCAATCTCAAACTACGTGATATGAATCATGTATTTCAAGCATATTGAGTTTACATACAAAACCAAACAGACCACATCGTACCATAAAACAGAAAATAACATTTGTACAAGTTCTAGACAAAAGTGGTTGTGAATGTGGGAGACTGTATTTAGTAGGAAGGGTATAATTCAAGAACATTAAATCGTATAATAATAGTCTATGTGTCAAAATAAAGCTTTTCATATGAGGAACATGAATATGCATATTTTAGCTATTTAATAATTATACAATAAAAATATATGTATCCTATTGGTCCACAAATAGTTCTCAAAAGTTACCATTCACAATTCTTGTCTGGATACAACAATTTTTAAAATAGAAAAGTGATTTAGTTATTCACTATTGATCGAAAAGTTATCTGTTCAATAAAACTTACAGATTGGCATGTATAGAACTAAACTTATTCATATCAGCAACCACAACTTGTGGTCTTACTTAAATAGTCTTAAACAATAGCCTTATTGAGTGATTTAAAAATACTCAACTATTGGACTTGTCAATAAAAACTTTGGTAGTTCATTCTCATATGGTTTATTTATCATATAGTGAAATATAGAACAACAGTTTTCCCTCTAAAGATTTTTCTCACTAATTGAACAAAGTATATTGTAACTCTTCCATCATGCTCGTCAGAACTCAATTTGGAGATAATAAGACTGAATTTGGAGATAAATTGTCAACCGTATCGATCAGCAGTATCCTCAGCAGTGCACATCCATGATCCCGCCTCGCGAGATTTCAACCCAGGACCTATCAGTCTAGCGCGCAAGCGCTTAACCACTAGACCGCTGAGCCGGTATCCAACAGTGTTAATATCTAACTTCTAAAACTACAAGTGGCTACATTAACATTCAGAAGTAAGAAATGACTATGCTATGAGATTGCATGTTAACGAACAGACGAACATCTGTTTAACGTCACCAGTAGTATAAGTTACTGAATGCAAACTATCATGTTCTTAGAAAAAAAATTTTAAGTTTTCCATTGCATAAATTACATTTTTGAAGATGAATTACAAATTCTTTCTGTGCATACGCTATTGTATACTGATCAGGTTAACAAGCTTGATAATAAGAAGATTAATAATTAATATTTTCTGTTGACTCACATTTATACGTCTACATTATTTTACGTTATCACACTTATCACTTTCTGTTTGAAATGTTTGCTTCTCAAAGCCTAAGAAAAAGCATGATGGATTATCATCCAATGACACAGAAACCATGTCATCTAACAGAAAAGGTAATGGCCGATTAACTTTATTAAGTGGATCGAAAAATCGGCGTATAAGTGGTCGCCATCATAGTGTACAGTACAATAAAGAAAATGAACAATCTACTAAAAATGATCAAAATTGTTTGGATCCAAATAAAGTTGGCAAAGAGAATTTGAATATTGGTTTACGACGCAATACTGTCTGTAGTACTACTGGTGCTTTTAAATCGATTAGAACACGTGGTTTGATGGAGTTGAGAAAGTCTAACAAAAATAATAATGTTGAACAAACGAAGAAACTAAAGTCGGGTAGTAAAATGTTTTTGAGAAATTCGTTATTAATTTATTACTCGTAACATAATTTTTGTTCTTTTATTTATGCTATTTATGTGAAGTTATCTAGCTTTTGGAGATGATTTATATCAGTGCATAATACAAACTGGATGACAGCCCCTTGGAAATAGATAATATCAGAGATTATTTATATCGGGACTCAGTAGTAATGGACCAGTCAGACTCAAAGCAGAATCAGAATTTCAGATTATATAATAATTGTGTTTTTTGGTCATTCAATTATCAGGGTTTTGTGATTTTAGTCAATCTTTCATATGGCACAAGTATTGTCGGTGAATATACCTAGTTGTTGTCAACTCAGTCTCAGCCTACAGACCAGTCGTTCTACAAAAAAATGAATGAAATTTATTTCGTAACAAGTGACAAATTATATGCGATCTTATTTTTACTCAGCTGCACCATCGATATGTATCATACAAGGTACTGAAATTAGATCATTGGTCAGGGATCCTGTTTTTGATTTATTCGATATAAAATCAATTGCAAGATTTGAATCACGAGCTGATATTATTTTGGCCATCACTAAATACCGGGGAGCACTGGATGGCTGTTCCATCCTAGAATGGGACTACTCAATGGTGCGCATCCACGGCCTCATCATAAGGGGTCAAAACTATGACTTACAATTTCGAGGGCGAACGCTCAACCTCTAGACTGATCTAGCTAAGAATACTTCATAGTTCAAAGCATGAAGATTCTAAGATTCTCACAAACACCTTTGTACTTGTTATTACATGATTGTCCCAATATTTCACCTAGTTATAATGATTATTTAATTGACTTCTAATTAACTGATCGTTGTGGTTCGAGTTCAGGAGTACATGGTTGAATAAATTAATAGAATGGGTTAGAGGAATTATCAAATAGTGATGATAGTTTCTAAAGTTGTAAAAGGTCTTCTTTTATAAAATACACTACTTTTCTTTTCAGTCTAGATGAAAATGAAACCGATTAATTTACTTGTATGTATTATTCATCATACATACAGGAGATTGTAAAGATGAAATAGATTTTCTGTTGTGTATCATGATTAGGGACACTTGAACACAAATATTTTTTATTAGATATTATTCTATGATAAATGCTGTTCGTGTATTATGAGTCGTTCTCATTCTTCATTTCGTTCACATTATTCTTTAGAAAAATCCAAATCTATAGACGATTCAGTAGTAGGATTGATACATTTTCGAAAGCTTACTCTAGATGATAATAATCTACATAAAATAACAGATTGGAATCAAATTCAGATTAAAAGTGAAGAATGTGTTTTCCAACGTCAATCATATGATCAAATAGTTGATGAACAATTTACAGGAATAAGTACTAGTCAGGAAAGTGATTTGTACATATGCAAAAAGGATAGAAGATTGATTAAATGGTCTGTTTTAGAAAGCACCAAAATGATGACAGCGTTATTCTTTGATGAATTACCAATAATTTTTGAAAAAGAGATTAACAATGGAATAACAGGAAATGAAATTCTTTCTGAATGCTATCGTGATAATAATAACAATAGTTCCAACGAGAAAGTAAAACCATACTATAGTCATCGTTCAGTGATTTCACTGCCGCGATCTGCAGCCGATGAACAACATTTGGGGGAATTTCACTTAAACCATGAACGCGTAAGTTAGTCTTTGTTTTAAGATTTAAAGTAAATGTTTCTTTGAGGTTCAGTAAGAAAACGTTTTGTAATAAACACGAATACATATGGATCAAGCGATATAATTTAAGTGTAGCTAATAGTTTGAGTTAATTAAATAATCTTTTCATTGTTTAAGGAGTTATCAAAGACCTTGAAGATTGTAGTTTAACACTATTAACTCTAAAGTGATTCATTCTCGAAAGAAGCACTTGTTTAACTGTTTGTCTGATATTTTTGTGTCTTAAAGGAGTTTTAATGTAATCGGATACACACTCGGGCTATCATGAAAAGTCAAGTATGATCGATGTTACTGTACGAACAAAATATTTGAATTTCAACTTCCGATTGAAATCCCACTGAGTAAAAAGCCTGTAGTGTCAGTCATTATTTTAAGCTCATAATGGGTCTTATTCTAGTTTTTGGACAAACTAATCTATTCACTCTACTTGAGTCATATTTTGACCTTGTTAATTATTTGCTTATCAGCCTTGACTGTTTTTATATGAGCGTATATGTGTGTACATATCATATCCCATGACTCATCACATATCTGTAGTTTATTCTGTCTGCCTATAAATATTACGTAATGCCTGGCTAGAAATGGAGTTGGCTTACCAGCCATCTGCCTTGCGCGTTAAATTCACTTAACATACAAGATATACGTATTCAAAGGCCATTCTCGTTAATTGACTTATCTAAATTCCGTTACTGACTAACGTGATTTAAGTCGATAATTGTATACGAGGATAGGTAATAACGAACATTCATACGGTCTAATTGGAGTCAGATCCACGGGCCACTAAAAACCATCACAATGAAAGTTATTATTTTTCAATTATTTGAAAGGAACATTATTTGTTGACAAGCAGCAAGTAGTAGCTTTAAACGGTTTTGCTTAAATAATCTTCACTACACTGTAGTAACAAGTGATCTGAGATAAGGATAATACAATAAATCCTACACACTTTTAAGTTCAGGAATTCTGGTTAAACTATGTAGTTTTTTTAGATTGATGGTATCAATCAAATCTGTGATAATTAATTTCTCATGTGCCATCAGTCTTTGTGTTACATACACATCTTTCTAACGTTTATCAAAAAGATTGAATTATAAATGGAAACGATAGTCCAATAAAGTGACTTCAATAATATGACTTATCTATTTCTTTCATAATTGTAAAACGTTTGAAGAACCTGGGATCACTCCAGATCCAATCAATTTCCTCTGAGGGTGACAAATCTTTTTTAGAACAAATTTTATGTAACCAATATGTAATTAAACTTATATCAACCTGATAAGCAGAGTTGAATGATGACTAGCAGTGAGATTAAGGATTCATGTTTCGTCTTATTCAGGACTCATCAGATGAATGCGCCCACATCCCGGAGTTGATGTTCACTCTGGAACTTGAGCCCAGTACTTTTCGCTCCAAACGCCACCGAGTTGTCAATTTAACTACTGAGTCCAAATAGCTACTAAGGTCTGTGATGAGGTTGAATTTTCATTTATTTGTATTAGTTATTTGAACCATCCCATTGATGCTTAGGACTGCAAATGATCTTGTTTATGTTACCCTGTTATTGCCATCAAGTCACAGATGCACACATATCGAGAGATACTGGTTAGTTATAGTCTTAAACATCAATAGAAGGATTCAAAAAACCAATGCAAATGAATTTATATTAGGCTGTTTGATAGAAAAGTTATTTATGCATGTATCACAGTGTGTAATTGTATATCCAGCGTCAAGATTGTACGTATAAAACTGTTTTTGGATATTGAACAATGGACTGTGTGTTTTGTCTTTCATATTGATCTATATTAAGTAAATAATCACTATTTTTCTCATTTTATTCATGAATACTCGCCCGACGCACAGATTTTTCGTTACTTATTCATCCAAGATTTGAAAGCGGCTTCGTATTATCAGGCGAATTTCTTGGAACGACATGGTTTGACAGAAACTGTAAGAGCAACTCTTTGCGATTGGATGATAAGAGTGAGTTTAATCATTAATAAGATGAAGTGTTTTTTAGAGATCTCGTCTAATCGAGGGATTATTTATATTCAGAATTAGCACTAGTTGGGAAGCAATTTAAAGTCAGGATTGTGCTAAAATCCCAAATAACTGGATTTGAAAGTGTGGAGAGTTGAATTCCAACCCAAAGGTCGAACAGTATTGTGGTCCCTACATGAGCTGAATGTCCTATACTATCCTGTGAATAGGGTTCATAGGTCCTAAATTATGAATGAAACAGCCGTCAAATCTCCCTAGTTTTTTGTAGTTTTTCAAATGATGCTAGTTTGGGATCAAAGTAACATAAAATATTTTTTAGTATTTTAAATATTATTCCCATCTAAAATCTTTCTATGAATAACAATAATGTCTAGAACAGAACTTGTACTTTTTAGGTTTTATTAACGCCAATAATGTATTTCAAAAGCTTCATCAACACGATGTTTACCACAACACAATGGTAGTTAAACTGGATTGATGAATTGTACTGGGCGAGTTACTAATTAAATTACTATAATCATGGCATTACAGTATATTTTACTTTTGAATATTTACTATAGCCTAGTCCCTTTACTTGCGATTCTTGTGTTCTTTGCAAATACACGCAAACAGGTAAAAATAAGATGAACATGAATTTAAATTTATGGAAGTAATTGCAACTTACATAGTGGACTATTCTCAAAAGACAAGACTATAGAAAACTTGGAAGTATTTATCAGGTGTTCTGCCATAAGTTGGAACATCCCACCACTATTAATTATAAAATCGTCAGCAGGATTATACCAAATCATCCTTAACTAATGTAACTAGATAAAGTATCTTAAGACTAATGAGTTAGATTCAGAAAGTTCATATTTCTGACTTCAATTAATTAGTAACGGAGTGAACATTATAGAATAACATCCATAGATTACTATTTCATTTATGATATTTTTGACTTTATAAATCACAATCTGTCATAAGACGTATCTCTATAACACATTCATGGAACCACCTATATTAATGTGAATAAAACTGTCCTATTCAGTTTATGATATTGAATAGTGCTCAGTAACTTAGATTAAAAATTTAACAAAAATTACTTCAGGATCTTTACCTTTAAGTGAGTTATCTTCTCGTATCCATAAGGAATACTATTCATAGAAACATAGTGGAAGTTTTTATGCAACTGACGGGTTCATTTTAGGAAGAAATAATGTTAAGCTATAATGTAACGTATAATTAGTGAAGTTTCAAAAGCTGAGATGAACAATCCTAAATAATCCAACTGTAATGAACGATGACTTCGTAGGAAAACCAATTGGTTATTTTGTGCAAAATCACACTAGCATGGTAAAAAAAACGAAAATCATGCATTAAATACATTATCCACATATCTTCCTTCAGTTGTCTCTTACATGCTCCATGATTCTCCCACTCCCGTTGTCATCACGATTGCTTACTAATTCCGTTACTGTTCTCGTCAATTCAATCTTGTGCTGTCAGGCATTCTACTTCCGATTGGTGCTACATACTACTAATATCTGTCAGCATAAGTAGTGTGACCATCAACAAGTTAACGAAAATATTAACACAGAACTGCATCAACTTCATATTGGGTAGAAAATGATTAAATCTAATTAAGTTACCAACATAGAAATAGATTACTCAGATTATTGAACGAATATTTTTCTACCCTCAGTCAATGAAGTTAGTTCAGATTAACATGTTTAAATAAATAAAAAAACATCCAAGCAAAGAATAGCAAATCTTTTCAATTAAAATACATTTTAATAGTAATGGATTCTAGTCATTCTTCCAGTTTGAGTCACTTAGCTAAATGATCTCAATGTGAATTTGATTACTTACATCTAAACAGTACTATGGAACAAAAAAGATAGAACTGTTACCTGTCCATTTAATCACTTATGCTTTAAATTCCCATATACATTATCTTTTGGTTCAATTCTAGGTACAACAATATTTAAAGTTGCGCACAGAATCATTGCATCTAGCTGTCAGTTTAGTTGATCAGTATACCTGGAGACAAATAACTTTATATCCGTCAGAATACCAGCTACTTGGTGTTACAGCAATATTTATTGCTGTAAAATTCGTTGAACGCTTTCCTCCAGCAACTAAAATTTTGTGTTATTTAACTGAGGATTCGTATAATTCTAAACAGGTAACTACTAAATTGACTTGATTAAAGTATTTTATTACTTATTTGATATATAATAATAAGGATAATCATACAAATTACCCAGAAAATGCAGATTTGTTTACTCAAGTTTGATCCACATACATAGAATAAATGTTATTGATCCTATCCGGTTTTCAACCGGGTGTAGATGGAGATAGGTTTTGAGACCTCAGCACAGTGGATATCAACTCGAAGCATTCGATCTTCATGATGTGTTATTGGAAAAGATAATATATAATCTGAATAATCATATTTATTCTACTTTCAGTTATATAACGGCCAATTCCATCTGTCAGCTTTTCGTCAGTATGCAAATAACTATTTATATACATAAACTTTCTGATCCATTATCAGTGTCAAGTGTAAATAAAGACTCTAATCAATTTTGTTAATATACTTGCGACATATTATAAAGCATATTTCTAACTTATGACGAACTGAGTAAATAGGAATCAAATAGTTTATGTGTTTACGTAATTAATAATAATAATACTGTGTGACTACTGATGTTTGATAGGTTGTTTTTAGGATATCAAATTTGTAGTGTTATCAACAAAGTGGTAAAATAACACTCCCATTTAGATAGCTTACATAAGATGTTCTCTTCAATCAACAGAATCTACCCTACTAACATGTGATCACTTTCATCTCTGCAAGGACAAGTAAATGTAGTTCAAAATGAGTGTATTATAATGTGATTCAGAGTTTGTATTACATTTAGTTTCAATAGTTAGTAATAATTAACTGTGAAGTGCTGAAAACTGTGGTCAATTACCTCACCGATTTTCGTGTTCCAACCAGCTTCTCAGGTATCTTCAATTGTAGTCGAATGACTTGTCATCTACATTACAATCTATCTCATCAACATTTCGATTCATCCATCTGATCACTCCAGTTAGATCAATAAACTTTAAACAATTTACGAGGGTAACTTTCATTCTTATATTATTTGCATGTTTAGACTAGTAGGTTTTTCAGTCACTGCACAAAAGTTGAGACTTATGATAGTAGTCCACAAAGGATTAGTTGTAAAAAGCTCACAGAAACAGTATTTATAAGCACAATATCTCTTAGTCATTACTTACGTTAGAAATTGTTTCCATGATGCCTAGTAGCTGGAACTGGTTCTCATCTAAGCTCTCCCATGGCTGCTTCTGAATCTGGTGTTATAACATTCAAAACAGACCACAGAATAACAAATGATCATTAAAATTGAAGCAGCAGAAGTGAAACATATTTCAGATATTTTTTTCCTGACACCCTAGTCTGGAATTATCCACGTATATAACGCCATATTAGGGCGAACAACTTGCCTGGCTCTTCCAGGTTTTCAATAGCTCTTAAGCCAAAGTCAGTACGACATGTAGACAATGAATCTAGTTTGACCATTCTACTTTACTTTGTTTTTTTACTTACAAAGGTACTAGATTTTGAATTTAAAATGTTAGAAGCATTGGATTTTGATATCAATATACCCTTACCGCATCACTTTTTAGATCGTGCATTTGCAGCTTGTAATGATCTAACTCTAACTGGCAAGGCAAAGGTAAGATTTTTCTTAACTATAGGAATAAAAAATTGATTACATTCGGTATCTTTATCAAGTTATTTTTACGTACGATAGGTTAACTATGATCGGTTCATGATACAGAATATAAAAGCAAAAGAACTCTGTAAACTCCTTATAGTAAATATTCATGTATTCTCTAGCGTTTAATTTCGACAGATAATTCCGGAATTCTAGTGAGAAGTCATAACCAGAGGAGTTCAACAATACTGAGTTTAAAGTAGCTGCCCATTCAATACATTGGAAGGTGATTGAACGATATTATGCATTGGTAGCAGTTAGACATGTACACAATTGTACACCGGCCCCACGCTCTAGAGACTAAGTGTACGTGAGAGAAACCGAAGGTCTTGGGTATGGACCCCTTGCTGTGGGATCGTAAATGCGCACTGCTGATGAGTTCCGTACCAGGACGAAATAGATGTCCAGTCCTTCCTGTTCCTTACTGCTTTTTTAAATAATAGTGAATAATAATGACTAATTATAAGGATGTTAACTATGATATAATAAGATAACGTTTATTTCGATACTGTAGAGAATCTTTTTGGAAGTTAGTACTGGAACATAATAGCTTATTTTGACATCAGTTAATATTGAGCAGATTTCTTCGATACTGGCACTTGGTTAGATTACGCCTAGCAGTGAAATTCAAGATGAGTGTTTCATCCGCTGATGCTCGTCAGCTTTACGTATCTGGATCCTAGTGTTTATGTTCATATTAAGGCTCAGGACCTTTCACATTCGACGTCGGAATAGCCACCTACTTGTTCAACGGGTATAAGGTTACTTGTAAGGGTTTGTATTTTCCCGTTTGAGTGATTTAACAAGTTGGTTGACACACGAGCGCAGATACTAATGTAATAAGAGCAGTAAGCTGGAACAGAGCTAGGAAGGTCTAACCAAAACAAAGGATCAGTTCACGAAAGTCATCGACAAACAGATGGAGAATATCTGGTTGGGTTCCACGTGATTATCATGATCAATGGCTGAAGACTTTGGGTGACATGGATTAAAGTCTTCTGCAATGGCGCAAATACATTCATTCTTTGTACTTCCAGAGTCTCTAAATCTCTTTATACTTTCACGTATACCCTTTTTTGTACTACTGCTGAAACTGCCACTACTTCTTCTACTCCGGGTTTCGTTTTCACAATTTTTCATCACTATGCTCATGCAGTGTAGCAACTTGAACCAAAGAATATATGAACCGGGTTTCATGTTGCATGTAACTAACTGACTGATGTAACAAAAAGAAGCTTAATGTTGAAGATTTTGAGCCAATTAAACCGCTCGATTTTATCAGAAATTTAAAATTTTTGGATAGATATTTAGATAAGACAGCTTTGTATTTCAATCTTCAGCTCTTCCAAGATCTATACTGTTGGAATTCCATTTGATTTTGGTGATGAATTCTATGCTGGAGAAATATTAAAGTTTGAGTATATAATAATCGACTCATCTCCGTTTAAAACTCTCCATCTACATGTAACCTTAAACCTCATACACTTCAACGTTACCTACTTATCTTGCGGCGAGCATGATGTTTCGAGATCCAATTATAATTAAATAAAACTAAGTGAAATAATGATAAAGTTGATTTGTTAAAAGAGACTCGTTACGTTTCGCTTTTACTAAGACCTGTAAATTATTGATGCGGAACAATAAAAGTGGTAAGAAAACACAGAGCTATACCTAACAGTCAATTCAGCTAATGATTATCATGTTTAGTTGTTGGATAAATGAGATAACATAAATACTTTGATTTCATCGAACTAACAGATAAGTAAGATAGTATATGTAAAGTTGGTGACTTACAACGTAACAAAATCTTGGTTCGAATAATAACCAATCCTTAGCCACAACGTCGACTAACATAGTTATTCTCCCGAAAATGAACTAGTCTTTTGACCAAGGATATCTTAGGAATCCGAGTTGGTCTCCATAGGAAAGAAAACATTATTTTTTGTACGATAGGAAGATTACAATGGCTTAGTGTTTAATGCATCAGGGTTATCAGTCATTAGGTTGCTTGTTCGAACTTCGCTTCTACTACAATTTGAATAGGCCTAATGCAAAATGTGCTACTTGTGATACAACGTATTAACATGAGTCTGTTTACCAAGTTGCACTTAAATTTTCAAAACCCGTGTCTTGCAATTAGATTAGTTTAGAAGTATAGACATTTTTGTATCCTGACCTAATAATAATAATAATAATAATAATAATAATAATAATAATAATAATAATAATAATAATAATAATAATAATAATAATAATAATAATAATAATAATAATAATAATAATAATAATAATAATAATAATAATAATAATAATAATAATAATAATAATAATAATAATAATAATAATAATAATAATAATAATAATAATAATAATAATAATAATAATAATAATAATAATAATAATAGGCAATTGGTGATTGAAAATTGTTCTCTGCTTCTCTCCTAAAATTTTTTAGATAGAATTAGTTTGTCGTTATCTATTCGAATTGAACTTAACTGAACTATCAACTGCAGGTACTTTAGCTAGTGTAAAATGCGCAGCTGGCGTTTACTTGGCACGTGAACTTATACGATTAGAGTACGAAAATGGAAAAAGCGAAACAGATGATATTCGGATTGAAAATAATGGCAGTTTGGGTTTATCAGTAACATTTGAAACATGGCCAAAAGCACTTGGCCTAAGTATGGGACATGAGGATGTTACCAATCTATTGCCAATGGTACTTACATATGTGCAAAATATTGTACGAACTTTACCAATCTCCAATATAAACAACAGAAATTACGAGGTAAGTAATAAATCTAAATAAGAAATGTAACAAAAAAAGAAGTCTCGAAATCGGTACGTTTAGCACTAAAGGATTATTCTTAAATAGATATAAGTAGCCACAAAATCGTATGTATTAAGTTTTAGAAAAAGGAGTGGAGCAATACTGCTTGTCTCAATTATTTATGTTATTCACGCGTCACTATCTGTTGGAAACGAAGAATGAGTGAACAGTCACTTGTTGACTAAATAGCAATAGGGTGATACTGATTTGTTCTGATTATTGTTCATACAAGTTAACAGATCTCGGTGAGCGGAAACTACAGTATACAATCAAATAACTACTTGGTAAACATTGGTGTATATCGGTTGATTACTGAGTGTCAACTAGTACCATCCTTAGGTGATATGTAATGTATTGAGTCTCTGGATTGAGGAATGTTTCAGAGCGATACAAAACCAATCATCAGTATTTTTAGACGTTAGGTATTTAGTCTGTTGTCAAGACCCTATAATCACCCCACAGGCTCGTTGCCACTTCCAAGCATTCATAACTAGGAATCTATGGAAACTCATGCTGTTTCAAAGAGTTGAAGATGCGCCACTTATCATGAAATCGGTTATTATTTATTTGGCGAATAATTTGTAGTCATACTCAGTAATGAGATGGAGTCTGATTAACCAGTGGATTAAACTGAATAACGTAGATTCGAACTACCAGAAAGCTTGCGAATTATGTTTGGAGGATACTTTTTCTTGATTGGATTACCATTATAAGACTGATAAACGAAGTGAAATTCACTATCCGAATTTCGGAGCAACAGTTACTATATTAGGGTTAAATGATACTGTAGCGTGGTGTCGAGTTGGGATTAACTATGAACACCGCTACCAAGAAAAACGTGCCAAGTTAATCAGAAGGCGAAGGTAGAACGTAACCAAATAAATCCATAAAATTTCCGAGAAGCAAAATACCAGAAGGCAATTAATGGACCAAATCGAGATATATATTTGCCGGCGATCTCGTGGTATCGAAAGGATACCGAGATCGTGCCAGGATACAAGCTTGGTTACAGAACGTAACCGAATTCGCGCGAAGTCACAATCAAAGTGTGAGTATAAGAATGGAAGCACGAAATAGCTGTCATTAGCACAGTTAAACAAAAGCACATTAAAACAAACACTGATACAGTTGGTTATAATAAGAATTGTTTCTATTAAACCAGTCGTGTTCTCGTGATAAATGGTGAGTCACTACAATACTATCTACAATGTCCCAAACTTCTGACGTATTGTGATGTTGAAACTTCAGTGAAGATAATAACAAGTTACATCTTTATTGTTCGCTCGGGTACGATCATAACAGATATATGGCTCTATGGTGAAGTAAGCAAAAATACTGATTTATAGATGTGTTTAGACAGCAAACGAGTATACAAACCTGAACGGCAAGAATAGTTTGTCCGAATGTAATCAGTAATCTTCACTGTTATATCTACCATCGAGATGGGTTGGTACTTAAAATGATAGGCTTTCGTCCAATGTATCTCAGGTTGAAACCCATATGTGCCTATTATTCGGTTCCAAGAGCCGAGGTGTATCATTAACCGTCACATGAGGATGTGTACACTAATATTATGTACAACTTGATGCATATATTACGATAATACCATGTAATAATTAATATACTATGAGTATACTCATTGAGCCACTTCATTTTTACCGCTCATACGTTTTAACTAACTGATCAGATGGTAGAGATTAAGCACATGTTTATTTTACTAATATTTATTTACAGGCTGCTTTTCATAAATTCAGTAATCGAAGCTATGGCCGAATAGCTCAATCTAGTTTGCTTTTGGACGCTGATTATGATTTTATTGTACAAGATATCAGAAGAAAAATGGCATCCAATTCAAAGCGGACAAATATAGACTGTCCTGAAGAAGGTCCGAACGTACAGCAAACAACTTTAAGAATGAACATGTGATAATTACAGTTAGTCCCCCTATTATCCAGATAGGAAGATTCAAGATCAAAATATTCAGCTCGATCGATTACACTTGGACAAAGATGCCAAGGAGAAAAATATCTTTCTTAATAGTTAAATTAACATTTGCTTCTCCCACCTGTTTATTCATCCAACGTTCTACAATACACATTGTTGCTTTTCTCTGAAAAATTACTTTACTGCATAAAATTGTAATAACTTCGATTCGTCGAATTCGTTATTTTCATCAACTACCTACCTTCTTTTTTTCTTTTTACTGAGTGGCATAATATATATTTTTTATCATTTAGTGTGTATATTCTTGTTGAATAGAACTGATTTGTTTATTCACTGTAAAAAGATGTTAACGATCCAAGAACTTCATTCGTTCTTTATAACCTTGCGTAAGTACATCATCACTTGATTGAATTAGGCATATTTCTTAGTTTGATTTAGTGATAATATTTCAAGTCAATACTAACAGTTCGTAGAAATATCCATGACTGATTTACAGACTAACGATCACAGCAACCAGTTTAGAATTATAAATTAAAATTTACAATTCATCACTGCCACATTGATCTGGTATCATTTTAAACGGTAAACGTATTTTAATTAAAAGAGCCTAATAAAGGTTCGACAGCATACTTCTTTTTTTAATTTGTCAATATCCTTGTATAATTGAGATCGTAGGAAATTATTCATTATGTTTTATTCAAAATGTTATGCTGAAGGTGGCTGTTGAGTCGGCTTTCGTAGAACTTCAACGGAGCCTCCAGAGGCCCAAAAGAAGCCGAAGAGTCCTAGCCAATCAGAGCATAATGGAGCATTTTAGAATTCCAACGTGGCGTGTTACTATTGGTATGGTCATTAGCATAATATGTCGTTAACGGATTGGCAGAAATATGGTGTTGATTTAACAAACGCTAACATCTATAAATACCCATGATTTTCTGTACAAGAACGAACCTTGGAGTAAAGTATTTTCTCTCATACTTTGCGTTTTCTCTCTGGTGTTCAGGTCGCTGTGTAGTTCTAGGTTGCGGGTTACCAGAATAGCTTAGGAAACGAATATAGCGTTCAATCGACAAGACTTATCAGTGGCAGTATCATCCATTAAATAAAGTGCGCCAGTTGTAGCAAGCATTATATTGACCAAAGTGGATTCCCCTATTATTTGTGTATAGATGAGAATAGATTATTAGTGTGAAGATATAACATATTTCATCAATATGCGTAGATAATTATGGAGAAGAATTTGATTTGGAAAATGTAGAAATTCTAATTCGAAAAAATAAGGATCGTAGAGGATTCTTAAGAGTTAATCTGAAATCACTAAGAAATATCGACGGTGACCTGACTTATCAATTTACACAGGTAGGGTAAGTTAGTCAGGTAGCAAGTTTCCAATTGGACATGACAGTCAGCAGGGACACAATGATGAATGAATAGTCAAATAGATCAATTCTATATGACATAATTCCCGACGATGTAGTTCAGAACGCCAATGAAGGCTTCACAATTCAACCACGCAGATAAAGGAACACATTCTAACCAAAATGTTAATACATTTAATATAACTAAGTAGCTACGTATAATTTTATATTCGGCTCAAATGAGTAGGTTTTTGTATAGGACTTAGATATATCACCCGATATATGGGGAAGGGAGTAAAAACAATGTGCAAATCGATAACTGACATTCAAATGAAGTCATGATCATTATTGATAGTCACTATGAAAGGTATCACGAACAGATAAACTGAAAGTATCTAATCACATTTAAGCTACTGAATAAACACGATAGAACAACTATCGATTATTAGTATCTTCTAAGGAATAATCATGTTTTATCAAACAAAAACTATTGTTAGTTATTGTATTCATTAGTGAAAAGTATAGTTCTTATTTTTAACCGAATTCATATGGAGAAGAATGTGATACCATGAAAATACTCTTGATGTTAGTGAAAGGGAAAAGAGAAGAAAAAAACAAGTACACAGTAAACGTTAATCCCAAGAAAAAAAATTAGGTTTCTCATCACAGATATAAATATATATTTATTTAGATATATAATCCATATATACAGAAAAACCTGAATGCTAGAATACATCAGTTACATTTTTTTTAAAATGGGTGATCTAAAGTTGATCTGGATCGAATACTTTTCAGGCACTGAACGCAAACAATAAATAAAGTAAGCTTCACCATTTGATTTATATAATAAATTATTGTTGTGTATATGAATGCCTGTAATTTTGAGTGGAAAAAAATAAAATATAGTATAAATACTGACTATGAAAATGTGAGAGAAAAAATCATTTTATTTATGTAATTTATAAATAATTTAATAGTTTAATTCGTGAGTCAAGTGAAGGTAGACCATCATGGAAAACCTGGAAGCACTGAACGGCCGTTTCATCCTAGTATGAAACTCCTCAGAAGTGCGCAATCCATGATCCCACCCCGCGAGATCCGAACCCAGGACCTATCAGTCTCGCACGTGGGCGCTTAACCATTAGACCACTGAGCCGGCATCCAACGATGTTAATGTTTTCTAGCAATGTTATGCATTCAACAGGATTTTCCGATTATTTATTAATATAATTTAGGTATTTATTTATTGTGAAGTAGGAATGAAGAGTTTTTGAGAAGAATCAAAATAGAAAATGTCATAGATAGACAAATATGAAGAGATTTGATAACAATTTAAAATAGTAGGTGTTATATCCAGAAGCTCAGTTTTTCATTATACCACGTACAACTAGAACACTCGAATGCCAGAACCCTCCAAGAAAACAGAACACAAGTGAAGGGAATGCTATTCCAAACAGTGTCATTTATGGTACAGAACTGTCAGGTATTCATAATTTTTAGTAAAAACCAAATCATCATTACAGTCCTTCAATCCGCATACAGGGGGTTATTAGCCAATAGGGAAGATATACATAGGGATTCTGGAATATTCTCCTAAGAAATGATTGGATCGAATATCTTCAACTCTTTCTGAACATCTTAGAACTTTATCAAGTTCACCCGTGGACCGTCCTCACAGTAGGATTTCTGATTAAGGCCTTCATGATGAAATATTAGATGATGTAACTCAAAATTGATTACGATGTAGTATTTCTATTAGTTTTACATTATCTAGTAGCCTGTTTAGACATACTGCCTGTTCTAGATTTATTTGAACTAAGAATGAATATAAATCATAAGTGCATTCACAGGGTATTATGAAAGCCTTAAAACCTATAGTGATTAGATATACTGGAAATCTCAAAATGAAATACTTCAATTATTGGTATATTCCCCTGATAGTCCACCGTTTGTAAAAAAAAGACAAGAGATGACTGTATTGGAATTCGTGTACTGCTCAATATCTGATGGATGAAAAAAAGTTGTGACACCTGAACTGATAATAAAGTTTCGCTACTGGAGATGAATAGGAGTTACTGACTATTGGTAAAATATTTTTTATCATTCACATCTTCACATTGATTTGTTTATTCTGAACATGTATGAAGGATTAGCTGAATCATTAGAGTATATTTTCCATTCATTTTAATACAACTAATCCTAGCACATAAAAAGGTGTAGTCGAAAGCCGAGAATATGAACATTTGTGTGACTGTTGGGTTGCATGAAATTAAATTAACAGCAAGAATCACTCGTAACAGATTGTCGATTAACTGGATGAGAGATTCAGTAGGTGCTCAGCTATGAGATCAACAGACTGGATTCCGTAAGGATCGGTCGTACATAAACCAAATCGCAACACTATAGATAATCGTCGAACAGTCAGTTGAGTGGAAGTCGTCACTATACATCAACTTCATTGATTATGAGAAAGCGTTTGAAAGTGTGGATAGGAGGACTTTATGGAAACTTCTTCGACACTATGGTATAGCTGAGAAGATTGTCAACATCACATGGAATTCATACAACGGACTACACTGGAAAGTCGTGCATAGAGGACAGCCGACAGACCCATTCCAAGTGAGGACCAGAGTCAAACAAGGCTGCCGACTCTCTCCATTCATCTTTCTTCTGGTGGTTGACTGGATTATGAAGACCTCGACATCTGAGGGAAAACATGGAATACAATGGACAGCTCGGAATCAATTAGAAGATTTGAACTTTGCAGATGACCTGGCCTTTCTATCCAATACACATCAACAAATGCAGATGAAGACAACTGGTGTATCAGTAGCCTCTGCATCAATAGGCTTCAACATACACACAGGAAACAGCAAGACTCTTAAGTACAACACAGAGAACACCAACCCAATCACACTTGATGGAGAAACTCTGGATGTGGAATCTTTCAAGTACCTGAGAAGCCTCATCAATGAACAAGGAGGTTCAGATGCAGATGTGAATGTAAGGATTAGTAGATCAAGAATGACGTTCTTACAATTGAAGAACATATGGAACTCGGAAAAACTGTCAGTCAACATCAAAGTCGCGATCTTCAATACAAACGTCAAGACAGTCCTACTGTACGCAGCTGAGACGTGGAGAACCATCATCAGAAAGGTACAAGCATTTATAATTAATTGTCTACGCAAGATAATTAATTTCTGTTAGCCAATACCATCACTAACAGCCTACTGTGGGAGAGAACAAACCAGCTTCCAGGTAAAGAGGAAATTAGAAAAAAACGTTGGGAGTGGATAGGACACACATTGAGAAAATCATCAAACTGTGTCACGAGGCACACCCTAACTTGGAATCCTGAATGGAAACGGAAAATAGGAAGGTCAAAGAACACTCTACGTCAGGAATAGGAAGCAGACATGGAAAGAATGAATAGTGACTAGAAAGGACTGGAAAGGATAAGGATGGATGGAGAGTGCAGGTTGGCGGCCTTTGCTTCTCGACGAGGGGTAACAGGCGTAAGTAAGTACGTGACCTTCAGATCAGAGTTGCAGTTCAATGAGATTCATTAAGTAAGTTGTTACGGTATCAGTTACATGCGGAGAATCTATGAATACCATCAAACTTTCTTTTAGAAAACAATAATATATCACTTACTTATTTCAGCATCATATCATTTATAGACAGTTGTTTTATTATTGTTAGCAATTGCACCAACTGGTAGACGATAATGTGAGGGATATGGAACATGTTTCATTACTGCAGGATTGTTATTCATCATCGATGAAGTAACATTAATATTATTATTATTACTGCTACCACTAGAATGACCAGTGTGTACAGTTGATGAATAAATATTATTCCCTGACGAACGCATTATTGCTTGCCTTTTAGCAGGTGGCTCTGCTTTACTATTTATTCCATGATATTTGTTTGAATCGAATGATACTGAATGTGTTACATGATGAATTGGTAATTCACCTGTAGTTACATTACTG